ACAAACAAAACTAAACTAAAATTAAGTAAGTACAACTATGACTAACAAGAGCAACATCCAACTTAACCAAAAATTCTCAAGTAACACCACTCCCCGGCAGTGACGCCATTTTGATTTCACGTATCATGACACTTCATCCAATACTATGTGTCCACGATCGTTAGTCAGTAATATAACCCAACTAAGTGAGTTGGGGTCGAATCCCACAGGGAGTGGTACGTATTTGAGAATCAATAGAAAAGCATGAATGTGTTCAAGTCAATCATAGGTAAAAACATTTACGAGTAAAAGCATGATTCAAGTTTGTGGTGACACAAGTGTCAAATAACAAGGGGTTTTGGTTTCAATTATCAACTATAGCAGCAAATAACACGAAAATAACAAGTATAGAGACGGATTCTTGGAATGTGATTGAATTATGGGCTAAGGTAGACATTTGGGTGATTGTAATTAATAGTAAATAGTTGCAAATTAGTGAATAAGCTAGACTTTAGTGGGGATAAACTTTCTCTCGAACAATTTACCCCGAATCAAATTGGTTTCTCTCGAACACCAATAAGAAGCAATTAAGAACAACCTATGTTTTAGTCCATTCACTCTCTCGAGCTGAATGTGTGGAAAAGGGTTTAGGATTCACTCTCTCGAGCTGAACCCATGACAATCCAATACCCACAGACCATCAAATCAGTAATCTTGGTTTTAAAACCTCTCTCTCGAGTAAGCCAAAAACACGAAGGTAGAGTTGCATTCGCAACTACAACCCTTTAGATTAAGCCACAATTACTGAATGAAATCACTTTTAAACAGCATTTACACTATCAATTAACAATACCCAGCAGCTAAAGCAACTCATAATCACATAATCACACCCCAAGAATTGAGGTTTTAGCTAGACATCATAAAAAGATAAAAATCGTTACCAAATTGTAGTTTCATCAACTGGGTACGATTAATTTCGTCTTTACAAAGGTCTGAGATTAAGAATCTTCAACACCCACTTCCAATTTCCCAGAAATAGAAATCTTCAAATTTTCAAAGCTAAGGAAAATATTGTCTCAAACCTCAGTTCTAAGCTCTCTACTCAAAAACTGAACAATAATATTCTATAATGAAAACTAGATAAAAATATGATACTAAACTAAAAATCAAACATGTATTTATAGTCGCCAAAATTGTGTTGCGAAGGACCATTTGGCGCAATAAGTCGGGATCGCCGATCCACTCGACGATCCGCCCTTTGGTTAGTTCCATCGCCTTTTTGCTTTGGCCTTCAGCAACTTCAAGTTCTGTAACTTTGGGCGATATAGCACTGCATCACGGAACCGTTCGGCGACTCGCCGACTGCTCCTTTCTATCGCCTACTTGAATTTCTCCTTTAGGGCTTGGCACACTGGAACATTAGGCGAGACCATAGCCATTCGGCGACTCGCCCAATGATTTAGGCGATCCTCAGGCCTTCTTTTCTTCGTTCTTTCAGCTGCTTTGTTCCTTTTTGTTCATTAGTGTCTATGTTTTGTTCGTCAATCCAAATACCTGAAAATCAAGGATTTACATAATTTATTGGCACAAAATATGCATTTGAGGACACTAAATCTACAAAAATAAATCCCTAAATGAGTCGAAATCATGGATTCATCAAGGGGGCGTAGTAGTTGACTTTAGAATTGGAAGATTTTTTGGTTCATGGGTTCTACAATTGGGTGTACGGTTAGTAGAAGCTTCAACGGATCGTAGAGAGGTCTCATGGAAATTATTCAGAAATTGAGTCCCCAATAACTAGTTCTACGGATGACCAGTATGGTCCATAGAAATATATTCGGACTGTAGGTCTGCCTGTAGAACCTGCTCGACACTTTTTATTTAAGAGAATTTGGGTTTTTCCTACCCTTTTAACCCCTAAACTACGTCATTTCTAGAACATTCTAAGGTCCTATAACTAATTTTACTCTTCGTAACCTACCCATTCACTCAAAACTCACAAATTCTCTTAAGGGTTTTCTTTTCTAACTCTCTCTCAAGCTCCTAAGATGAACATCTAGGATTTCAAGCGCCAAAGTCTTCTTTTCTTGCATCTAAGGTCTTTGATTACCCAAAGTATGTGGGAACTTCACAAATGGATTCCTTTTATCCATTGGATTCCAAAAGAATCTCAATCTCTAATATGATTTCAGCCCAATTCTCTTAGGTTTTTTTATGTATTCCTCATGGGTTCAGGTTATTATGATTCAATTTCTTGAATTCAATCTTATTATGCATTATTGATTCAATTACATGTTTTTCAATTGATTTCATACGAGCCCATGCCTTATTGCTTTTGCTATGATTATGAACTTATGAATTATGATTATGAATTTATGCATATTTTATGAAATTGATGTTTTATAACTAAAAAAGGTTTTTAAGATAAAATGTCAATGGTTTGTGAAAAAATTTCTCACATTTGAAAGGAATCATGATTTAGATGCTTAAAAAGGAAGTGTCTTGTCAAGTGATCAACCATCTTTTATAATCTCCATGTCATCCACCCATAGAGAAAACAATGCTACTACTCCTCTAGGGGATGATGAGGTCAAGACCAATTAGTGGAAGACATATTGATCTAATGAGGTAAGAGAGGAGTCGTTGTCCCTTATGTTCCTCTTGTTAAGAGTGATGATCTTTCCCTTGAATTGATGAACAACTATGAAATCATGGTTTTGAAAGGAGCTATTCTAATATGGATTTATTATTGGATTGATAGTCTTTGATTATTGCCTTTCCAAGTATTTTGATATGATTACGATTATGTCTATTTCATTGGAATTTACTTAGCACTGAGAGGACTTTAGAATAGTGGTCTTACTGCTAGTAGATGTTTGATATTTAGTAGCAATTCCCTTGTCCCAAACTATGTGCCCCATCAGATTGTTTTAAATGACCTAAGCTCGTGGATCTATTTTAGCAAGAATGAATTTATGAATTCCTTACCTTGACAAGTAGGACTCCCTCTTTTCAGTGTGATGGTTACATCGGATTCCATGTTATAGCCCACATGGTCTATTGTCGGTTAACGATAAATATCCCACAAATGAACTATGTTTTCTTCAAAGGTTTTATGTAAGCTTTCCTTATGGTTTTCAAATATGCATTGACCTTGTTCATGATTTATAATTTCACTTTAAAGGCTTTACTACGTTTTACTTTGTCATGCATAACATATTTTAAGTTCACTATATAATCATGTTTACGTTTTTATGCATTTTTCCAATATTTAGTACATTCAAAGTACTAATGCATATTGTATCTATGTTGTTTCATAATATAGGGTCTGACGCTCCTCCTCCCCGACATGGCAGATCGTGATTGCTCAGTTATTAATTACTTGGATTGGTGAGTCATCATGGTTTGAGGGCTAGGCCATTGTCACTTTTATTGCTTTCTTAGTCTTTCAGTTTTAGACTATGTTCGTGACTTAGTGGTTTGTCCTAATCACATCTATGGATAGAAGGCTTATGTCAAACTTAGTTAATGTTCAGCGTATTCACTTATGTACTTTGTTTCTATCTCTTATGTCATATAAAGCTTTGAGACTTATATTGCTTATATTCTCTTTTATTGTATTTTGTTACGGCATGTTTATGTCAAGTGACTTGTTTGGGGTCTCTCGGGATCCTATTTGTCATGTGACATCTAGGATGTATTTTAGGCCATGAAAGAAAGTCGGACATTAAAATTTAACTTTCAGGACTTCATTTCACTGTTCGATCTACAATTCGTTAAAAGATCTACGACCTGTAGTACAAACCCGTAAACTCAGGTCTAACCCCATGTCTCAGAAGTCTAATTTCACGAGCATTTCTACGGTCTGTGGTTGCTACTATGGGCCATAGATGGTGTCTGTGAAAGTCAAGTTTTTCTACATATTTGAATTCTTTTCTAGACTTTTTCAAGTCTAATCTGAATTGGAATTTTTGGAGTGTCACAATATCTCCCTCTTGGGATCATTCGTCCTCGAATGATGACCAACCTAGGAAATTACACAAGGCACGAATACAATCCAATAACTGAAGCATTCAAACACATGAATCAATCTTAAATCTGAATTAGAAAATTTTGGGGTGTTGCAATCATATTTGCAATACCAAGATATCCATTTGCAGTACCTCCATAAATTCTCAAATACCGCATTACGAGCCACCCTCACAAATGTGTACCACACTAGCTAACAATAACTCATCCAAGTTCAAATTTTGATTTTTAATACTCGAAATACACCCAGCACCCTCCAAACATAAACTAATAGTGCTAATCAATTGTAAAACACATTTTGAACCTGCTGGAAGCGACAAAACACTACTTGGGGATCACTTAGGTCAAAAGTTGACCAAAGTGAAACCAAACTTAAAGAACTCTAAAATTCCAACCAATTGACCAAAACACCCCTAGAAAGTTGTGAGGACTGAACCAAAATTTCACCTAGGCCAAAAACCACCCCCTATTCTAGTGGAACTATGAAAACACAGATCTGACCTTCCTAACCTCAAATATTGACTTTGGTTAATAATCTTATATTTCCAACTTCAAAACTCAAAAATTCTTCCAAAACTCATCTGAATGCCTACCCATTCTCGCAAGTCACAAATACCATATCAAAGTTGTGGAGAGAGCTAAATTAGGAAAAACATAGGAAAAAAACACAAAAATGACCTAGAGGATCGTTACAGTTATTGTTACCAAATAAAACCTAAGGGAGACCTCTAAAATTATATATAACACTCCTCATGCCTCAATTTATGTGATACCATTTGACTTGACACACAATTTAAGAAAGAAATGATTTTTTAAAAAAAATTATAGTCCAAACAAACCTTAAATACTTGTGTGACTATCAAAGCTAAATCGTTTTTAATTATAGAAACATGAATTATTATTTAGACGGTATGAAATGAAGAAAGTCATTAAAATTATGGGAGGCAACAACCATAAATAACAAATTAGAATGCCATAATTGCAATTTCCCAACTTTAGCGACGTGGCTTATTTGTCTTCGTGAATTTTTTTGGGTTTGAGACGCAAAAATAGTTGAAAGAAACTGAATTATGGTTGAAACTTGGAACATTCACAAATTTCTCATATGCGTTTTTCAGTTGCATACGGAAAAGAGTGTGTGTTAGATTTGGGATTCAGTAACCACAAGATGAATCTGAATGTTCTAAGACAGAGGGCGAAGCTATATGTGAGAAGAGGGTACACATTCTCCACTTTAGCTTCCGCTGTGAGATGGGAAGGAGGCGTTTCAATGGTTCAAGGAGCTTCCAGGGGCATTGGCTTGGAGTTTGTAAGTATACTTTCTTCGGGTTATCTTGACTAATTAGTTATTCTATGTGCTGCATTTTACACTATTTTCCCCCTTTTTTAGTCTATTTGTGAACTATCTACTTTTTAACTTTTCAATTTAAACTCCCTGTTTCAGTAAAGGACAGTCACATAAGTGAAATGGGAGAGTGATTGTTAGTGTTTGAGAGACTGTTCTTATTGGCATAGTTGTATTCTACATTTTGAAGAACGGACTCAATTGTAAGACATATTTATGATGTGGTTTGTGTTGTGCTGTGCTGCTTGGATGTTTCACTGATCTGGTATTATTGTTTCTTCAAGTGATTAACTGTTTCATTCTGTGATTCTTTTTATTTTCTAGTAGTTTCTTTATTTGGGTAGTAACACGGACCATGATCCTGTCAATTGTGGTGAAAATGATATAACTCAGGTCCATTTAGTGCAGACAGTTATTGTGCCAAGTATGAACAACTTAAACCTACAGCAATATAGACAGAGATTATGGGCATTGACTAATTTGTCTAACATATCACAACATGCTATTGCTGATTAAAGAGATAATTTGGACTAATGCTACAAAAGGTTGTTCTGTATCTTTATTGGGGTTAATGGGGTATTAATGGAAAGTCTGTGTCTCATTCTGAATACAGTAGTAATGCTTATTGAAAAGGTGAAAAGGGACTTCCTGATTCTGGAGTCTTTTACTTTTAGTCCTCTTTCTTTAATTGGTGTAGTCTTTGCTTATTTCTATCAAACAATTTTGCAGCTTAACAGCAGTAGATGGGGCCTGGGTACGTATATTATTTAAAAAATAGATGAACAAGGTGTAATAAAAACCATAGCATGCAACAATTAATATTTCTCTATTGAGTATACTTTTGCAGGAGTTATATTATAGGCTTCAATAAAACATGCTTATCAATGGTAAATGAAAAAACTTGGGTATGATAGTTCACACACAAACATTATAGAAGTGATGCCTAAAAATCTTGAAAATTTGATTATTCTGCTTAACTTATCGTTCACAATATAAAAAAAGTGAAGACTATTAGAAATGAGCATACGCCATTGTTGGTTGTTGGCATGAAATTGATGAGTGAAGGGGTGCCATCTGGTTTGATTGTTATCATCTTGTGTTGTTCCTGATTATCTATTGGGTTCAAGAGCTTTTACTCCTCTTACCTTTCTTTTAAGTTTTTAATTTGTTTTGCCTTTTCTTTTCCCCCTTTTTATATGTGAACAGTTTAACTAGCATGTTTTAACTAAGCTACAGGGACTCTTCACTTCGGTATCGTACCCGTGTCGACACACCATGGGTGTGGGATCCGTACCAGATATGGTCATTTGATTTTGGATAATTTGACCAAAATCAATCGAGAAATTCAAGCTGGATACAATTTAGGCATATGATTTTTTAGATGTAAAAGATACTTGTGTTAGATAGTTATGGATCAAACATCATGATTCATGATAAAATGTGAATGAACTCAAGAAGTCTATCATGACCTTTATATCATTTGCAATAGCCATGTTACACTAAAAAAGACAGTAAGGAGATGCATTTGTACTTAATAATAAGTACAGATTCAGACTTGCTCCCAGAAATTCGTGCATTCATTTCCTTTCAAATAGTCCACTATAATTTGGCATATTTTTATAAATAAATATATTTGGATCCGTACCCCCAAATCTTAAATTTAGATCATCAAGGATCCGACCTTAATAGTCCACCATAATTATATATATTTTTATAATTATATTTAGATCCGTTCCCCCAAATCTTATAATTTAAATCATCAAGGATCCAACATCTAGATCAGCACCCGTATTGGACACCTGCAGCCGAGTCTGGCACTTAGATTTTAAATGTAAACTAGATAGCTGATTGCCTATTTGTTTTTTAGTTTTGTGATGATTGTTAAACTTATGTTTATGTTATGCTTGAATGTAAGCAGGAAGTTTGCCATCTGTTTTCTTTCTTTCTCTGGTATTGGGTTTAGATCAAACCTTTGATTGGGGAAATGGCTGTAGGTGTCTGGAATGAGTGCTCATAAAGGACCGAGTTCTTTACTGATCCAAAACATTGAGTGTAGTGCAACCTCATCCATACAGCTAGTGAAAGTAGAGACTGAATTTCTAATTTCATTCTTTATCATCTGCCATTCATTTTCTCTTTTCCTTTTTGTTTTCTGTACTTCTCCCTCGGCCATCTCATTTTTCTTGGTTCCCATGCCACTGCCAAAATTTGCACAAATGAAATGTAACTATGAAACAGACAAACTTCATGAAGTTCGAAACAAAGGAATAGAAAAAGTTTCTCTATGGCCTCATCTGGTATGGCTGCCATACAGGAGAATTTGGCCTAACTAAAGTAATTATTAGGTTTGTATAACTGCTTATTCAATATCTGACAACATGACCTTTTGTTTTTGATGGGCTGGTCTGACTAGATGAGTTTAATTTTCTCACAAACTCTAAAATTTAGCATTTGCTTATACTTTCCTGTGCGCGGGAAAACTTCCTCTGACAGGATGTACTAGCCTTCTGTGTTTGGTCCAATCTTTAATGGACTATGATTGTAAGTCAATTATCATATTCTTTAACTGCTCAGCCAAGGTTTTCCCTGAGTTTCTGACTCGTGCAGGTTAGACAATTGTTAGAGAAAAAAGACAAAGGCTACATTGTTGCAACATGTCGTAATCCTAGTGGAGCAACAGGGCTTCTGGAATTGAAGAATAAGTTTCCTGAGCGCCTTGACATTCACCCGTTAGATCTGACAGTTGAAAGCACTATCGAGGTATATTTTAGTAGTTATTTCTTTGCACACATTCTCCTTTCCCCTTTTTGTTCATAAGTGGGAATATTGTATTTGCTCCACTTGCCAAAAGAATCATTTGCATATTTCATGGTTTCTTGTTAGTCTTGTTGGTTCATGAATTTTTTTGGTTTTTTATAACAATGCTAATTCTCAGGACTCAGCCAAATCGATCAAAGACAAATATGGCTCAGTAAACCTTTTAATTAATGCATCTGGTGTTCTTTCAATACCCAATGTTCTGCAGCCAGGTACATTGTTTCTTTGTATTATGTTCATAAATTTATCAATTGTAGCTTGGACATTGTTGCAACTTATAATGATAAGAAAGGGATAATGGTCCTTTCCTTTCTTTTAATCATGGAATTGGTGAAGTGAATTATTTATCTTCTCTCTTTTTTCAGTACAGAAACAACACTGAGTAAGGTGCAGAGGTCATCCTTGCTTCTTGCTTATGATATCAACGCTGTTGGTCCCATTTTGGTCATCAAGGTGCAGTCTTTTATTTTCTCTCATGTTGTAGGCTAAAATAACTTATATCGAATCATTTCTTTTTTAGCAGCAACTATTTCTAAGCAATCAAGGTTTTGCTCAACAATGAATATCTTGTCCTGATACTTTGACCGACAAATAAGTAATTACCCTTGTTAATGTGGTACATGATCAGGAATTTCTGCTCTCTCCTTGAAGGGAAGGTGCTAATACGTTTTTAATACTTGACTTTGAAAAAGCTAAACACCTTAATTTAAGCAAGAATTTGCCTCTTTTATACCGAACTTTGCCAACCAATCAGATAAGAATAGAGTAGGAAATCCCTTTTCCAAGAGAGAACATTTTCGATCTTTTTGCATCAATAGTCATAAACTAGGTTTCCAAGGCTTTGCTTCAAGTAAGATCCCGGGGCGTGATGTGTTGCTAGGCACATATCACGAGCTTGAGCCCCATCACATACGAAAAGCTTGGTGTTGTGTGGGACTTCGAATCTTTCTTAAAACTTATGTGCCCTTAACACAGCAATTTCTAGCTCTTTGTTAGTAGTAATGTTGTATAACCTTTTCTTAACAAACTGCAAATGACAATCTAAACGAAGAAGTGGAGAAAAGATAACCTGATGTGTTATCTTTCGATAATCTGCACAATTCTTATCTGTCGGAGATGTCTCAGATTGTAGAAATTCCTTGCTGTCATGCTGGTAGATCTTTGTCCAGAGTCTTCTAGTTTCCATCTCAGAATTTTGAGCATGTCCCTCCCTCAGAAGGTTGAAAAGTATCTTGTCTAACTCTTGTTTGTTCATAGATGTTACTTGATACTCCCTCCGTCCCAATTTAAGTGTCTTAGTTTGACTAGGCACAAACAAAGGGAGACTTTTGAATCTTGTGGCCTTAAATTAAAGCTTTGTGTAGTCCTTTAAGTCATTGTGGTCTTAAACTTGCAATGTAGGACGCTGGAATCGCAATACTTACTAAATATAATATGAGGCACTTTTTTAGGGACAGACCAAAAAGGAAAGTAAGACACTTAAATTGGGATGGAGGGAGTAGAAGTTAAGATAGAGGACAGATATCTGCTTTAGGTTTCCTATAAATTTTAAACTATAAAACAGACTTATCTGAATAAAATATTTTGTCCTATTTCAATTGTATTCAACCAGCATCATCAGATGAAGTTGGATATTTGGATTAACCTGGTGAGTTAAACAAAAACCAAACATGGAGCATAAGGAACCTCATTGTCAGAGTCGCTGTCATGCTGGTAGATCTAAATCCCGAGTTTAAGGTTTCCATTTCAACATTTTTTAGCTAGTGCTTCTTCCGTCATAGGGTTGGATAATAGCTTGTCTAACTCTTTTTTGTTTGTAAAAGTAGCTTGGTAGAAGTTGAGAAAGAGTACTGCCAGTTCTGTTCTGTTTCCTGTTAATTTTGAATAATAAGATAGGCTTACTTATGTCAATTGTATTGGATCACCATCGTCAAATGAAGTTGGATATTTGGATTATCCTGGTGAATTAAGGGGAAATCATTATGGAGCATATAGGAACCTGATTGTTGGACTTGCACATAGAAGATCTTGTCAAAGATAGACTTATCCCCAAAAAGGAGAAAGATCTTGCTAAAGTTAGCCATCTACTAGTTACTATAACGAAACTTAGAAGAGTGATCCACGCATTTAAAGCAACATGTGTGTTTCATGAGTTGCCAAATGCTGCATTGTAAAAACAAATAAAAAATCAACAGGGATGTGTTGCGAAGAGATCCTTTTATAGTATATCATGTCGAAAGTTGAGGATTCTCAAAGTTAGGTTTACCTTTTTCTTTTTCATATTGAATACCTCTTACTTTTGACAATGTAACGTTTAGTTCATGTTTTGCGTGAACAGCACATGTGGCCTTTGCTGAAAGCTGGAGGTGGCTCTGGAACTGACAAGGATTTTGCTATTGTTGCCAACTTAAGCGCAAGGGTGGGATCGATAGGAGACAATGCTTTGGGAGGGTGGCACTCCTATCGTGCATCTAAGACTGCACTAAATCAGTGTATGCTCTTTAAAATAAATCTATTTACCCAATTACATATTTAACTTCTGCTGATGGATGGTAAAGTTGAATGTCTCCATGAACCTTTTTGACCAAACAACATGCCATGTAGGATAACTGAAATATGGATATCAGATGTCTTATAGAGATATCTGGCATGATCATGAAAGGCAAAAAATGAAAGCTTTCTTAGCATACAAGGATTGTGGATTTGTTGCATGGTTAGGAAGCAAGTACTTATTAAATTGACCATTTAACAGGAAAAAAGGAGAAACAACGGTTTCAGTTTTATGTGTTTTAAGAACTAGTAAGAGCCTGTTTGGATTGGCTTATTTTAAGTGCTTTTAAGCCAAGATAGCTTTTAAGCACTTTTGTAGTGTTTGAGACTGAGTAAAATAAAAAGAGTGCTTTTAAGCCAAAAAGACAAAAATAAGCCAAAAGCTATAAGCCCATCCAAATAGGCTCTAAGTCGAAACTGTAAAGAAAATGAGGAGCACTTTTAAATGATCATAGAATGACCAGTCAGTTCAACCAATAGCCTTTCATACATTTATATAGTCGATGGTAGTGGGATCTGGTGCAGGTTAAGTTGTGGGATAGCTGGGTGGAGAACAGTTGACCATTAAGGACTGGGGAACAGGCAAGATGAATGTGAAGAGTGAACTGTCCCAAACATGTTAGTCTCCACCTTGGTCAGGTTTCAACTTCTTATGTATCAGTCTGGACAGAAAATCTTAATTGATAATTGTTTTTTTTTTACATTTTCTTTTTTCCCCTTTCATCTTTGTTCGAATAATCATAGGTGAGAAGTTAAGTTTTCTCTACCTAAAGAGTATCTAGTGTGAAGTTCACTCCTCTCTTCATATCCTATTTATCTTGCTTACACTTGCGTTTAGAGATGATTAGAACCATGGGCACCCTTAAATTCACTTATGCTCAGTGCTGTGTTTTGATTGTTGAGAGACAAGAAACTAATAATGCAATTCAGAAGAGATCACTGGTTGCACTGGCAAATGTACTGATATGCAGTGCACTTTCTTCCAAGTAGCATTTCTTGTGGACAGACAGGAACAACAATTCACTACAATTACAAGAAAATGTTGGAATGTTACATTTTTAGTTTTGGGATATACTTCTTCAAGCATGTCCAGTATTCCGTGATCCAATGTCTTAACATTAGTGTGATTCAATATTTGTTGAGGTAAAAACCAAGCAAAATCTTGGTGAAATGTTATGCGTAGATCTTTCTGGACGCGTGTCCCCTTATATTCAGCCACAAACATTTGGTTTTCTTTTCTGATTTCGAGGACATTGGAATTCCACAAGGAAATTGGTTTTAAGTAATGCATGAAGAGTTCAGAATTGTGCTCCCTTGACAAAACAACATAATACCTGAATGCTTTCTGTTGCTCGTTGCAGCATCAGGTAGTTAAGAGTTTACCATATATATTTATTATTTTAAGTCGTTAAGTTTGTAGATCAGAAATGGGCGGAGCTAGTTTCTTTGGCTATCTTTAGTTATGTTGCCCCAGAACCCTGTAAGTCAGATACATATATACAGTAGGTGATGTAGTGAGTTAAAGTCAATAATGACAATTCTGAAGTTGGGCTGTTGTGTACCTGAATATTCTGACTGAAATTATTCGACAAATCCTCAAGTGGGACTAAACCTTATGGTCAAAATGGCAGCAGATTGCAAACCTCATCCATGTATATAGATGACTTGTTCTATCACCTTATATTTATATTATAGAGAAGTGAATTTATTTGCGTTAAGATTAGTTGGTACTTCATGAAGTCTGAGAATGCCATTGATCTATGATTCTGGAAATTTTACAGCAACCAAGGATTTGACATAGTTTGTTGATAGTAATGCCATGCCTCTAATTTTTCATCCAGTTTGTCCTCTGGTGAAATTGATTCATGCTAACCATGTCTTAATGCTGCAGTAACAAAGAATGTGTCGGTGGAATTTGCACGTAAGAAGGATCCAATTATATGCATTTTGCTGCACCCAGGCACGGTAGACACTGATCTCTCTCAACCATTTCAAAGAAATGTTCCAAATGAAAAGCTTTTCACCAAAGAGTTCTCTGTTCAGAAGCTCCTGAGCATCATGAACAACACAAAGAGATGTGATAATGGGAAGTTCTTTGCCTGGGATGGTCAAGAAATTCCTTGGTGATTTCCCCCTGAAATCCATACATGACGACTGGATGGTTTTGATTGATTCCTCCGGGATGATATTCTTGATTTCTTCTTGTTGAGCTTATTTTCTAGTTAACTTTGTATGTCCTTGTATGGATATGCGGCACTTGTTATAAGTTGAGTGAACATATATTGAAACTAGTTTCAGGGAACGTGTATTGCAAGTTGATCTCTAATTTTTACTTTAAGTTTATATCACAAAATAGTGAATCGAAAAGATACTTTATAGCTACATCACTTGAGAAAAATTTAAGAGAATTTAGAAACAGATTATTAGTTTCACTTTAATGTGTTGTTTTACTTGTTTTTTTTTTCAAATTTCAGTCGAAAATATATCAAAACGTCATGTCATATGGAGATTCGCATGTACTGTCCAAAGTTCTTTGTACCATTTCTCGTCTTTGCCTTGTATGGAATTTGATATATGCTTGTTCACATTATATTACTACTCCGTGTGTCCTATATTAGATGGGCATCTTATTAAAAAAGTAGTTATCTCATATTATTTGATCACTTATTGAATCAAAATAGAATTAATTAAATTTTCCTATTTCACCCCTACATTTAATATGTTTGAATGTGAACAATTTTCAATACTAGCTATTCCTATACTCTATGTATATTTTTTTCAAAATTAGTTTTATAGGTATTGATATGAACAAAGGGAAAAATAGTAAAGTTGATCAATCTATTAATATTTTCTTAATTACCTTGTAAAATAGAAAATGTCCATCTAATATGAGACAAGATAAAGTTGTACATATTTTTCCAACTTCTTGTGGAAATTAGTTTAAGACAAAAAGAATGTTAAAAAAAAAAAATTACTCAAAAAAAAATAAAGGAATCCCTTTAGTTACCCATGCGGACTAGTGATGGCAAATGGACGGATTGAAAATAGATCTACATAAATGAGTAACTTCCAAACTATTTCGTTAAGCTTCTAGTACATAACTAGGTATAGCCCAAAAACCTCAAGGGGGATAAGTCAAATTATGGTATTACCTCCACAAGTAAAACTTTTCGAAAGGCTCAGACAGTTTTTTAGTATCAATGTCTATGACAATCAAGAAAAATCTATATCATTTGTCTCATTACATACATATCAGATGAATGAATATAACAAAATAGAAAACTTCTTTTAATTTGCACTAGCTGAGTGATTTGTATATTCTATATTTCTATTTTTCTATGCACAAGAAAAGCTGGCAAATGTCTTGAAGACCCTAAAATAATAATTATCTAAAATGCACAGAAGCAGCTATTTAGTATTTGGTCTTCTCACCTAATTTGCACAGCAAAAAAAATGGAGCAATATACAAATTACAAGCAAAGCAAAAAAGCTCTCCACTATTCAAATTCCTAAAGAAGTAACACTTGTCTTTGTTACCAACAAGATCTTCTAGCTTTACAGTGGACTTTGGACTTCAAATGGTAGTCAACATTCGTCTGCCAGTACCAAGAAAAACAAAATTACCCAGTTTTGAACTTTCTACCTGTTCAATAGAAGAAACAACAACCACCATAAGGTTATTTTTTGAAAGAAACAATCGCAAGAAAATTAAGATATGTCTTTCTTAGTTCCACGATGGGTATGCTTCTCTTAAAAGTTGTACAAGTTAAACAAAGATGGACAACTAGCGAAGAGCTTGATTCCAAAAGCTGCTTAGCCTATTTTATAGTGTAGCTCACTTTTTTTTTTCTGTGAGTCTCTCTGTTTGCTTGGGCTGGACCATTTGGATGGACAGAAACCAGAGATGCCTTGAAGGGAAATCAATCAATGTAGTTATGTTGAAGTGTCTGCTTTTGTTAGCTCTGTAATCTAGATTACAGAATATACACCTAGAGGATATAATGGAGTTGATCAGTTCAGTATCAGATTGAAAAAGCACTTCTAAAAATGAATGCTTCTCTTGTAGAGGGGTATACCCCTACTTTTTGTACTTGACAGTTCTATCTTCTTTTTTAAAATAAAAAAACAGCAGTGGTGCCCGGGCCAGCTTACGCACACCTCGACGATATGAATGAACCCAGTTATTCAATTGCTCACGATAAACTTTTTTAGCTTCTAGGGTCTAACATAGGTCCCTGAAAGGATCTCGAAGACTCACCAAAGTACGAAAGACAGGTTCTTTCAGAAAATGGATTCCTATTCAAAGAGTGCATAACTGCCTGATGAATACCCCTATCAATAGAAAGATCTCAAGTGCCCATTAACTAAAATATGTCGATGATTGACTGGCAACGCCTCAGCGGGAACAGTTGAAGCCATATCCGATCGAAAAAGGATGTTATTTATCCGAAACACATTTCAAGTAATTGTAGTAAGACTTGACCTGTTGACCTCGTGGCTACTACTGCTCCTTTGAGCAGTAGCGAGGGATCAATTGTGATCGCTTCAAATTGGACATAATCTTTGGGTTTTATCATGTTATTCGATAGTATATGCATACAAAAGATACTTGATTATCAAAAGAACGAAGAATACTACAACAACTACTAATTACTATGCCTTTTGTCTTAAACAAATTGATGTGGTTGGAAGGGAAGAAAAGATGTACTTTATTCTTTCCATCCAAATTCAAAGGAACTGAAAAGCTAACCTGGAGCAATTGAGCTTCAATCTTCCCTCTTTTACTTCCCCTCCCCATATCGTCCTCTTTCACCAAACATAGTATAGAACTCACCAGCACCTACTTGTGATTTAGTTTGAAAAGAAAAGAGAGTTTAATGAGCTACCATATATGAGCTAAAGATACCTGTAAGCACGCATGTAGTGATGCAACAGAAAAGTGATATATTCCTATAATGACTTACTTCAAGATTTCAATGGTAAAACTGATGGTCAGTTTTTTTTTTTTGAATAAGTAACATTTGTATCATAATAACTCAGCACTTAGGTAGGGCTAAACCCGCTTACAGCAAGTCAAAGTATGGCAATATAACAAAGAACTCCTAATCCTAGCATGACTCTTTACACTTCTAGGATATTTTCTGCATCTATAGGATGTTTTTATTTTCTGTACTGTTCTACTCCTGTCTTCGAAACACCTAACATTTATTTCCTTCCAGATGGTCCACCATACACAAGCTGGTATGGTTCACCAGTAGCTCCTGTTTTTAGCTCCCTTCCCAGCTTCTTCCCAACTAGATAGTGTTAACAATCTTGCTAGGCATTGTCCATTGTATGCCTCTACGATTAATGAAAATCTTCCATAGTTGGTCAGTGATTCTGCAATGCAAAAACAATTGACCCACTGTCTCAGCTGCCTCACCACAAGACAGCTTCTTTTGCTAACAACCATGAGAAACATGCCACCTTCAAAGGTTCTTTGGTTCTCCAGATCTGTTTCCATGGCCATATGAAGTTTTGTGCCACTGTCGAATTCAAAAGTTTGTACCCTGAACTTACTCCCCTTTGTTGTGCCCATTCCACCATAGTCTGTCCACCCCATTCTTTAGACTTTGAAAAGCTTCAAGAATTTTGAAGAACTCAATTAGTTTAGGAATTTCCCAATCATTCAAGTTTCTTCTGAAATTTAATTCCCAGCCTTGGAATGCCCACATGTCAGCTATTGTTATGTCCTGGTGGATAACTAAATCAAACAGATCAGGGAACTTCTCTGCTAGACTCCAATTACCTAACCACCTATTTTTCCAGAAGATGGTTTTATACCATCACATACACTAATGGTAGAGTGATTAAGTAAATCGAGCCACCAGTTTCTAATAGATCTCTAAACAGCGACACCATAAGGATTGTTTGCTTCTTCAGTCATCCACCCATCCAATTCTCCATACTTTGTTCTGATCACATTTTCCCATAGAGAGTGTGTCTCATGGGGATATCTCCACAACCACTTCATTTTCAAAGCTTTACTTTGGTTCTTCAGGTTTAAATGTCAAGGCCCCCCTGTTTCTTGCTTGAGATGAGTTCTTTCCACTTGACTAAGTGATAACCTTTCCTGGTATTATTTCCTTGCCAAAAAAGGTTCTCCTGATCTGGTCTGGCCCCTGTACTACCCCTGCTGGGATGGGGATTGGGGAAAAGGGTAATCATGTAGGTTGAGAGAGCATCTAACACAACATTGATCAAAGTGAGTCTCCCCCCCCCCCCCCCCCCCCCCCCCCAAATAGATAAGTATTGGGATTTCCATCTTGATAATTTCCTCTCATATCTTTCCAGAACGTCATCCCAAATTTCCTTGGATCTTGATTTGGCCCCCATTCTTTCTCCTTTTCTATAATTAAATGTTGTTGTTGTGTGCGCAATGGCTCAGCCTCTTCAACCTCCCATTCTTCAATGGAGGACACTAATCTCTGATCTAGTGTACTGCATGCAACTTCTTCTACCCCCCTGGCAATCTCGTCCCTAATCAGGATTTGCGACTTTGGATCCTCCGTGAGGTCCTTTTCTTACCAATAGGTAAGGTGATGCTTGACTAATGTTGAAGCTACTGTAAATACAACAAGAAGCAAGACATGGAGGTGCCGGCACACGGAGACTTCTTGTATGAGATATTTTTGTTGCCTAATTCTGGACTTGGGGCAATTTTAGGGGCTTTCTTTTGTTGATATATTATTAGAGCTTGGTCCAAAACTTTTTTCTTTTTGATGATTTATATTAGGGGAAAGGGTCAAGAATACCCCTAACCTATTGGAAATGGTTTGAAAATACCCTCCTTCCACCTTTTGGTCTAAAAACACCCTCATCTTTGTTTTTGGTTCAAAGATACCCTCCTTCCACCTTCTGGTTTAAAAATACTTCAACCCAAATTTAATTGAAATGAATTCTTTTACTAATTAGTTAATTCTTTTACATAACTAAAAGACAATTTTTAATTTATTCAAATTCTTAATATTAGCTCATTCTAAAATATTTAAAATATTTAAGTCTATCTCTATTTCAAAAAAAAAAACATAAAATAAAATAAAAAATTTATTGTATAAAAATAAAGAATAAAATTCTTTTTCTTATTATCAAAATAATACAATACTAATAGAACCCGTTCTTTATTTAGTCATTAAATCGTCATCACCTCTTATCATAGTCATAGTCAACGTAACTTTTCCCCTTCAGGGATTGTAAATAACACTACAACATGTTGCTACACTATTGCATCTACCTCTAGTGTAAAAATTGTGTAATATCTAG